CTCTTTAATAAGCACAAAACCCAATTTTTAGGTGAACAAAAGACGTGAACAGACATTTCTTTTGTGAAGATATACAAATGGCCAGTAAGCCCATGAAAAGATGCTCATTAGTCACCAGAGAAATACAAATTAAAACCACAGTGAGATACCTTTATACTTTCACTAGACTACTCAAGATCAAAGACTGACGACTGGCAAGGACATGGAGCAACTAGAATTCTCATAATCACACTGGAAAAGTTTGGCAATTTCTTTTAAACATTCAGTTACCTATGACCCAGCAATGACACACCTAGATATTTATCCCAGAGAAATGAAAACATATTTCCACAAAAAGATTTGTACTTAAATGGTCATAGCATCTTCATTTAAGTCAAAAGATGAAAATAACCCAAACGTGCAATAATAAACAAATTTTGTTATAGTCACACAATGGAATACTACTGAGCAATACAAAAGTGCAAATTACTGAATCAACATGGATAAAGCTCAAAAACCATTTTGGTCCAGAGTGGTGGCTTATGCCTGTAATCCCAACACTTCGGGAGGCCAAGGTGGGAGGATCACTTGAGCCCAGGAGTTCAAGATCATCCTGGACAACACACCAAGACTCCATCTCTACAAAAAATATTTTTAGGCCGGGTGTGGTGGCTCACGTCTGTAATCCCAGCACTTTGGGAGGCCGAGGTGGGTGGATCACGAGATCAAAAGATTGAGACCATCCTGACCAGTATGGTGAAACCCCGTCTCTACTAAAAATACAAAAATTCATCAGGCATAGCTACTTGGGAGGCTGAGGCAGGAGAATCGCTTGAACCCAGGAGGCAGAGGTTGCAGTGAGCTGAGGTCACGCCACTGCACTCCAGACTGGCAACAGAGCAAGACTGTGTGTCAAAAAAAAAAAAAAAAAAAAAAAAAAAAAAATTTTTTTTTTTAAAATTAGCCAAGAGTGGTGGCATGCATCTGTAGTCCCAGCTACTCAGGAGGCTGAGGTGCGAGGATCTCTTAAGTTCAGGAGGTCAAGGCTGGAGTGAGTCATGACTGTGTCACTGTACTCCAGCCTGGGTGACAGAGACCCTACCTCTGGAAAAAAAACAAAAAAATTGCTGAAAGAAGCCAGACACAAAAAGGTAGATATTATTTGATTCCATTTATATGAAGTCTTAGGAAAGTCAAAACTAACCTACAGAGAGAAACCAGAACACTGACTGCCTCGGGTGAGGACGGAGGTGAGGAAGGAGCGGGAGGTGGGGTGCACTGATGGGACTATTCTGTATCTCCACTGGGGCAATGCAGTTACAGGGGTGCGTACATTTGTCAAAGTTCATCAAGCTGTACACTTACAATAGGTGCGATTTGGCTGGGCGTGGTGGCTCATGCCTGTAAATCCCAGCACTTCGGGAGGCCAAGGCGGGCAGATCATGTGAGGTCAGAAGGTTGAGACCAGCCTGGCCAACACGGCAAAACCCTGTCTCTACTAAAAGTACAAAAATTAGCCGGGTGAGGTGGCGTGCACCTGTAACCCCAGCTATTAAGGAGGCTGAGGCATGAGAATTGCTTGAACCTGGGAGGCAGAGGTTGCAGTGAGCTGACACTGCGCCACTACACTCCAGCCTGGGCAACAGGAGACTCTGCTTAAAAAAAAAAAAAGGTACAATTTACTATATGTAAGTGAAATGTCAATGACAGTGATTTTTCTAAAAAGCAGTTATTTCTGTGGAATAGAAGTGGACAAGGTAGGGCAGAAGGTCAGTAATTACATTAAACACCTCTTTCTTTCTTCTTTATAAATGAAATAGAGACAGGATCTTGCTATGTTGCCCAGCCTGGTATCAAACTCCTTCTTGGCCTCAAGGGATCCTCCTGCCTTAGCCTCCCCAAGTGACATTAACACATGTGAGCCACCATGCCCGGCCATAAACACTTTTCTGTTCCGTTTGATTTTAAAACCACACGCGTATATGAGAGGAATTGAAAAAGTACATGAAAAATGTGCATTATGAAAAAACTATCCATGCATTTCAAAAATTTTTTGCACTGAAATAAACTCATACTAACTTGTTATAACGTGTCTGAACAAGATCTAGTGTGAGGCACTAAGAAGGATTAGACATCAATTTGAAAAGAGTCCCATGGGAGCAACACGAATTCTGCTAAAATGGAAGCAACAATGAACACCAAATTCAAGGTGAAGCTTGGGTGGAAGAAGGGTGAAATCACCAATGCTTTATGAAAGAAAAGTATATGGGGACAATGCTCCAAAGAAACCAGCTGTTTACAAATAGATAACTCGTTTTAAGGGACAAGGCCAGGCACAGTGGCTCATGCCTATAATCCCAAAGACTTGGGAGGCAAGGCAGGAGAACTGTTTGGAGGCCAAGAGTTCGAGACTAGCTTAGGCAAGATGGTGAAACCCCATCTCTACACAAAATTAAAAAAAAAAAAATTAGCTGGGCACGGTGGCATGCACCTGTAGTCCCAGCTACTCGAGAGGTTGGGGTGGGAGGATCACTTGAGCCCAGGAGTTAGAGGTTGCAGTGAGCTATGATCGTACCACTACACTCTAGCCTGAGAGACAAAAAACGAGACTGTCATTTTAAAAAAAAAGACTACGGCCCGGTGCAATGGCTCAAGTCTGTAATCCCAGGACTTGGGGAGGCCGAGGTGGGCAGATCACTTGAAGACAGGAGTTCAAGACCAGCCTGACCAACATGACAAAACCTCGTCTCTACTAAAAATACAAAAATTAGCTGGGCGTGGTGGCACACGTCTGTAATTGGGAAGCTGAGGCAAAAGAATCGCTTGAACCCGGGAAGTGGAGGTTGCCACAAGCCGAGATCGCGCCTCTGCACTCTAGCCTGGGCAACAGAGTGAGATCCTGTCTAAAAAAAAAAAAAAAAAAGAAAAGCCCTAGTAAGTATACAAAGCGACAAAATGTAATACTCAAGGACACATATGTTTGGCCAGGCGAGGTGGCTCATGCCTGTAATCCCAGCACTTTGGGAGGCCGAGGCAGGAGGATCATGAGGTCAGGAGATCGAGACCATCCTGGCTAACACGGTGAAACTCCATCTCTACTAAAAATACAAAAAATTAGCTGGGCATGGTGGTGGGCGCCTGTAGTCCCAGCTACTTGGGAGGCTGAGGCAGGAGAATGGCGTGAACCCGGGAGGTGGAGCTTGCAGTGAGTCGAGATCCTGCCATTGCACTCCAGCCTGGGCGCCTGGGCGACAGTGCGAGACTCCGTCTCAAAAAAAAAATGTTCAAATGCCCCATGGAAGAAGGGAGGAGTATGAAAAATACCAGAAATCTAAATTTAAAAAAAAATGTGGGGGTGACTGGAGAGTAGGCTGAGAGTATGCTGTGGATGGGAATGGTGGCAGGAACGTATGCTGAGTGGAAGTGAACAGCCCAGGCAAAAAAAAAAAAAAAAAGATGGTGCCAGTATGGATGGAAAGAAGCCGGTGGGCTTGGTAGATCTACGCGGAGGTACAATACACTTCGCTTGGTGAGGAACTGGACGCCCAGGTGATGGACAATGTAGGAGGAATGATTTCTCAATCTCTGGTTAGCACTGAATTGAACAGATAATGGTACCATTCGTGGAGATAGGGATCAAGAGGCCCAGACTTAGAAAGATAACGAATTTGCTTTGGGATATGTATATTGAACTTAAAAGCCTCTGAAGCATGGAATAAGCAGATAGATTATAGAAGTTTGTCTTTTAGAGTAAAGGTGGCTCAGTACAAAGAAATTTGTCACGCCTGTAATCCCAGCATTTTGGGAGGCCGAGGCGGGCGACACAATGGAGGTCTGGAGTTCGAGATCAGCCCGGCCAACATGATGAAACCCTGTCTCTAATAAAAACACAAAAAAGTAGCCAAGTGTGGTGGCGCACACATGTAGTCCCAGCTACTCGGGAGACTGAGGCAGGAGAATCGCTTGAACCCGGGAGACGGAGATTGCAGTGAGCCGAGATCGCGCCACTGCACTCCAGCCTGGGCGACACAGTGTGACACTCACACAGTGAGTGTCGCCCAGGCTGGAAGAAAAAAAAAAAAAGAAATTGCCTTTGGGAGTCAAGAGGGCCTAGAGGGAGCCTTGAGTCAACAAAAATTTACAAAGAGGGGCCTGCAAATAAGACGGGGATAGACCCGCCAAGCTGAGCCACTAAAACCCAAGGAAGAGGGCGTGAGCAGAAGAAGCAGGGCTCAAAAGCAAACGCTGCTGAGAATTCAGGTAAGCTGAAAACGGAAAAGGGCTGGATTTAGCAACTTGGAGGACACTGGTCCCTTGAGCCAGGGTTTTCTACAGCGATCAAGGGGATGCCTGGAGTGGGTTAAAGAGTTGATGAGAGGCGAGGAAAGGAAGTGGCTGAAACCAGACAAGAAGTTTGGCTGCGGGGCAGGAAAGGAGAAGAAACAGAAAGTGGCCGCAGGTGAAAGATCCAGAAAAAGGCAAGCGTTTATTTACTTTGTTCTTAAGTAGGAAAAACGTGAGCGTGTTTCAAAGACGATCAGAAGAATGCTTTGAGGAGGGGGTGATGACACTACACGGGGGCTCGGCGGGTCCCCACCGCCCCCCGCCTTCTCCTCCCCTCGCGTTCATCCCCCGTCGCCCCGGGCTCCCCTCCCCCTCTCCACTCCGCGAGGCTCGGGGCCGCAGCCATCCCGCACCGCCGGCCCGGCCCCCGGCACCTCCTCACCGCAATGGCCCCCTCGCTCAGTTGGCCGACCATGGCTCCGCCGCCCCGACTCCCGCGCGGACCCCGCGACAGCTGGAGCTTCCCCACCAGGGTCCCGCGCGCTGCGCAGTTATTGGCCCGAGAAGCTACGTGCGCCGCTCCCGCCCCCGACGTGCGCGCGTCCCAGGGGCGGGCCCGGGCGCTGCGCAGCCGCCACATTGGCCGAGGCGCGGCGCACGTGACTTGCTCGCGGGCCCAAGGGAGGCCTGGCGCGGAACACGGGGCGCGGGGCGGGGCGCCGAGGGGCGCGCCAGGAGCTGCGCGGGCGCGGGGAGGGAGTCCGCGGCCCAGTTCCGGGCGCCTGTGAGCGGGCTCACGAGGCTTTCTCGCCTCGGTTTCCGGCCAGTGCACGGGTTGGTAGCCCAGAGGAGGTTAAAGCTGTTCCCTGAGACCTCAGCTGCTAAATGGAGTCGCAGCAGTGACCCGGTTCCTCCAGCAACGCGGGGCTGACTTCTCGACCGGGGCCAAACCCTGAGCTTGGCACCGTTGAGGGGGGGGTCTCCGAAGGGGAATCAGACCTGGTCCCTGTCCGTGGAGAAGAGGACAGTGTGTGGGGGCACTTTATGCCGTGAGTAGCCCCAGCGCCAGGTAGACGTGGTACAGGCCCCAAGAGTGTTGGAAATCAGGGAAGCCTTCCCAGAGGACGTGCCGTTTGAACCGAGTCGAAGAACGAACCTGTGGGAATTTTCCAGGTGGACTCCATAAGCCAGGGTAGGATTGGTCCGGAAAGCACGAATAGCCTCTGCCAAAACCTTGGAGAGGTGAAATAGCCTGGCAAGCCGGGGATCGCAATGAGTAGTTCAGTATGCAAGGCTGCAGAGGAACAAGTGAGACCTGAGAATTAGAAAGTCAGCCAAGGGTCAAGTAAGGACGGTTTTGTCCTGGGCTTCCTGATATGCTTGGAGTAGCGTTGATGAATTTAAGGCAGAGCACTGACTTCTGTCTCAGTGTTGGAGGCTGGATTGAAAGTTGGGGGGGGGTGCCAATGGCATGGACACTAATTATGACACTCTAGGAAGAATGCCAGACGAGATGGTGAGGACTTAAACCGAAGGAATGACCTGGGGGTTGAAAGAGAACGCTGAACTATATGAGAGAGAGAAATACCTGTTAATTGAATAGTTGCTGGGGTGGGTGAGAAAGAAAAATCTGGGGAAGTGTCTCAGGTTTCAGACTTGAGAAACTAGGGGGATCAGGCCGGGCGCGGTGGCTCACACTTGTAATCCCAGCGCTTTGGGAGACCCAGGCTGGAGGATCACCTGAGGTCAGGAGTTCGAGACCAGCCTGGTCAACATGGTGAAACCCCATCTCTACTAAAACTACAAGAATTAGCCAAGAGTAGTGGCGCACTCCGTAATCCCAGCTACTCCGAGGCTGAGGCAGGAGAATTGTTTGAACCTGGGAGGCAGAGGGTGCAGTGAGCCGAGATCGTGCCACAGCGCTCCAGCCTGGGGGACAGAGCAAGACTGTCTCACGCACAAAAAAAAACACTAAGAGGACACGGATGATAGCTATCTAGTCTGCTTCCTCTTTGTATAACCATCACCTGCATGGTGCCTGTCACAAAGTAGTCTTTCAGTAAATATTTCTGAATGGAAGGATGTTGAGTGAATTGCTGTGAGAGAATATAGATCTTTCCTTAGCATGTAAACTAGAGGAAAAGACCACAAGAATTGATTTTATTGCTTTAGGCTTCCTTGAATGAAATCTTGATTTTCCTTTTTTTTTTTTGACACAGAGTCTCCCTCTGTTGCCTAGGTTGGAGTGCAATGGCGTGATCTCAGCTCACTGCAACCTTGGCCTCCCCAGTCAAGTGATTCTCTTGCTTCAGCCTCCAGAGTAGCTGAGACTACAGGCGTGCGCCACCACACCCGGCTAATTTTTTTGTATTTTTGGTAGAGACGGGGTTCACTGTGTTAGCCAGGATGGTCTCGATCTCCTGACCTCATGATCCACCCACCTCGGCCTCCCAAAGTACTGGGATTACAGGTGTGAGCCACTGCACGGGGCCAAACTCTTGATTTTCTAAAATCGTGCGTTTGTGAGATTCCTATTTTCTTCCTCATTGTATAGATGGAAAGCAGCATGGGTCTGCCTGCGGATGAGTGGAAATCATACCTGCTTCAAAAGTGGGCTTCACTCCCGAAGTCCATTCAGCTCACCATTTCTACAGCAGAGACCTTGAGCGATATCTTTCTTCATTCCTCTTCACTTCTTCAGTAAGTACATGGAAGCGTTAACGAGGCAATTGTGACCCGAAAAACGTTCTGTTTTGTCATTTGCTCTGAAGTAATCTCTGTCTCTCTCTCTTTCTTAAATAGAGATGGAGTCTTGTTATGTTGCCCGGGCTGGTCTCAAATTTCTGGGCTCAAGCAATCTGGCCTCCCACGGTGCTGGGAGTACAGGTGTGAGCCATCATGCCTGGCCCAGTAATATCTCTTTTTTTTTTTTTTTAAATTTTTTATTATACTTTAACTTCTAGGGTACATGTGCACAATGTGCAGGTTTGTTACGTATGTATACGTGTGCCATGTTGGTGTGCTGCACCCATTAACTCATCATTTACATTAGGTGTGTCTCCTAATGCCAACCCTCCTCCCCCCCCCCCCCCGTAATATCTCTTTTTGATGGAAAATGCCTGAAGTGCTTTTCGTGGTTCCTTTCTATCCCAGCATGTCCTGTGAACTAATTCACTTCTGTCATCCCGCAGGATTAGCCAGATCTTTCCTCAGGAAAGCTCTCACTGAGCCTCAGCTGGGCCATCTTTACTCTGTACATTTACAACGCTGTGTGATTTTCCTTTATGTATGTGTGTGCTCTTTTGACTAATGCCTGCATTTGCCACTAGATTGTGAACTTCATGAGGGAAGGGACCATGTTTGTATTTGTTTGTGTTTCTTTTTTTTTTTTTTCGAGACAGGGTCTCGCTCTATCGCCCAGGCTAGAGTGCAGTGGCGCAATCTCAGCTCACTGCCTCTGCCTCCCAGGTTCAAGCGATTCTCCTGTCTCAGCTTCCCGAGTATTTGGGATTACAGACGCACACTACCACGCCTGGCTAATTTTTTTTTTTTTTTTTTTTTTTTTGAGACAGGGTCTCACTCTGTCACCCAGGCTGGAGTGCAGTGACACGATCTCAGCTCACTGCAACCTCCGCCTCCTGGGTTCAAGCGATTCTCATGCCTCAGCGTCCCAAATAGCTGGGACTACAGGCATATGCCACCACATCCGGCTAATATTTTTGTATTTTCAGTAGAGATGGGGTTTCACCATGTTGGCCAGGCTGGTCTTGAACTCCTGCCCTCAAATGATCCGCCCATCTCAGCCTCCCAAAGTGCTGGGATTACAGGCATGAGCCACTGTGCCCGGCCTGTTTGTCTTTCTATAGACAAAAATAGTGCAGTGTCAAACAACAATTGCTCAGTAAACATTAATTGAATGATAGTTTGGTAAAGTACATAAAGTTCTTAGTTTAGTGACTGGCTCTTATTAGTGCTTAATATGTCATATAAACCAGAACCTTATATATTTGCAGATCCACAAACACACACCTTTAAAGTTCAAGGTTGACATCTTTGTGCCAGGAACTGGCACAGTGCCTGGCACTTAGTAGGTGCTCAGATATTAATTGAATGAAATAATGAGTTCAGTTTTGAGCCTTGCCAGTTCAGATACTTGGTACAATTAGGGTTATACTTCTTTTGTTATTCTTCTTTTCTTTTTTTTTTTTAGACAGAGTTTTGCTCTTGTTGCCCAGGCTGGAGTGCAGTGGGGCAATCTTGGCTCACTGCAACATCCGCCTCCCAAGTTCAAGCAATTCTGCCTTAGCCTCCCGAGTAGCTGGGATTGCAGGCTCATGCCACCACACCCGGCTAATTTTGTATTTTTAATAGAGATAGGGTTTCGCCATGTTGGGTAGGCTGGTCTCCAACTCCTGGCCTCAGAGGATCCGCCCGCCTTGGCCTCCAAAAGTGCTGGGATTGCAGGCATGAGCCAGCACACCCGGCCCCCCAGTACATTTTTATTTCTAGCCTCTTTGTGTCCCTTGCCCATTTTCTAGTGGGTTGTCTTTCTTTCTCTTGTTCATTTGTAGGAGATCTTCATAAATCTAGCTGTGTAATTCTTTGCTATGTAAGTTATTATTTGCTATATAAATTATTCCCAATCTGTTTATCTTTTTTACCTTATTTACAATGTAAATTTTGTACATTTACATTCTATATAAATTGTGTATATAGGTTTTAAATTTTTAAATTTTATTTAAATTTTTTTAGAGACAAAGTCTCAGTATGTTGTTCAGGCGGACCTCAAGCTCCTGGGCTCAAGCGATCCTCCTGCCTTGCTTGGGATGGTGGAGTAAACCATCCTAAGCAAGACATAACCCAGAAGCTATAAAAGAAGATGAAGTTGGGTGTGGTGGCTCATGCCTGGAAACCTAGCACTTTGGGGGTCAGAGGTGGGAGGACTGCTTGAGCCCAGGAGCCTGGGCAACATAGTGAAAAATTAGCCAAGCATGGTGGCATATGCCTGTCATCCCAGCTACTCAGGAGGCTGAGGTGGGAGGATCACTTGAACCTGGGAGGTCAAGGCTGCAGTGAGCCATGATCGTGCCACCGCACTCCAGCCTGGGTGACAGAGCAAGGCTATTTCTCAAAAAAAAAAAAAAAAAGGAAAATGACAGATAAGGCTTTATAAAAATCAAGCCAGACATGGTGACATATGCCTGTAATTCCAACTACTTGGGAGTTTATAAAAATATTCTTTGTTGGCCGGGCATAGTGGCTCACGCCTGTAATCCCAGCACTTTGGGAGACTGAGGCAGGTGGATCACAAGGTCAGGAGATCGAGACCATCCTGGCTAACACAGTGAAACCCCGTCTCTACTAAAAATACAAAACAGTCGGGCATGGTGGCGGGCACCTGTAGTCCCAGCTTCTCGGGAGGCTGAGGCGGGAGAATGGTGTGAACCCGGGAGGCGGAGCTTGCAGTGAGCAGAGATCACGCCACTGCACTCCAGCCTGGGCGACAGAGTGAGACTCTGTCTCAAAAAAGAAAAGAAAGGAAAATAGTGCCACTGCACTCCAGCCTGGGTGACAGAGCGAGACTCCGTCTCAAAAAAAAAAAATAATAATATCTTGGGTATTTTGTGTGCATTTCCCCCATGTGAACTTTAGAATTGGCTTATTAAGTTCCTTTTTTTTTTTTTTTTTTTTTGAGATGGAGTCTGTCGCCCAGGCTGGAGTAGCGCGATCTCAGCTCACTGCAAGCTCTGCCTCCTGGGTTCACGCCTCAGCCTCTCGAGTAGCTGGGACTACAGGCACCTGCCACCATGCCTGGCTAATTTTTTATATTTTTAGTAGAGACGGGATTTCACCATGTTAGCCAGGATGGGATTACAGGCGTGAGCCACCGCACCCAGCCAACTTCTCAAATTCTATAAAAAATGTTGTGGGTTTTTGATTGAGAATGTGTTGGATTTATAGATTCATTTAAGGAAACCTGACATCTTGACAATATCAAATTTCCTAATCCAAGGGTATGTCTTCCCATTTATTTAAGGCTTCTTTTACCTCGTTAAGTAAAGTTTTATAGTTTTCTTTATATAGGTCTTACACATTTCTTGTTCAACTTATTCTCGTTGTAAGGTTTTTGTTGTTATTGTGAATGAGCCTTTTCCCCCCAATTACATTTTCTAATTGGTGATTGGTGGTGTAAATAAAAAATAAAAGTCATCCGATTTAAAATCATTTGGCTGGGTGCGGTGGCTCACACCTGTAATCCCAGCACGTTGGGAGCCCAAGGCAGGCGGATCACCTGAGGTCAGGAGTTCAAGACCAGCCTGGGCAACGTGGTGAACTCCTGTCTCTACTAAAAATACAAAAAATTAGCTGGGCATGGTGGCGGGCGCCTGTAATCCCAGCTGATACCATGGTGGGTTATGGTAGCCTCAGAATGAATTTGGAGAGCTTCCTGCCTTTTTCTATGCTCTGAAATCGTTTATATAATGTAGGAATTATGTGGTTCTTAAAGGCTAGTAGAAAAATCCTGTAAAACTATGTAGACTGGATGCCTTAGTGAAAATATTTTCCTTCCTTAGTTTAATTTTTTTATCAGAATAATATGTGTACATACTTTAAGAAATCAAATAGGCTGGGCGCGGTGGCTCACACCTGTAATCCCAGCACTTTGGGAGTCCGAGGTGGGCGGATCACGCCTACCATGCCCATGTCAGGAGATTGAGACCATCCTGGCTAACACGGTGAAACCCTGTCTCTACTAAAAATACAAAACATTAGCCAGGTGTGGTGGCGGGTGCCTGTAGTCCCAGCTACCCAGGAGGCTGAGGCAGGAGAATGGCGTGAACCCGGGAGGCGGAACTTGCAGTGAGCCGAGATCGCGCCACTGCACTCCAGCCTGGGAGATAGAGCGAGACTCCATCTCAAAAAAAAGAAAAGAAATCAAATAGTGCTTCAAAATTTATCAGGAAAAACAGCAACTCCCTGTCCACTCTTCCCCATTCCTGATTTTTATTCCCCAGAGACAGCTACTTTAAATTATTTTAACTGTTTCTTCTGGCATTTAAATTTTTCATTTATTTATTTGTTTGTTTGTTTATTTTGAGTCAAAGTCTCACTCTGTCACCCAGGCTGGAGTGCAGTGGCGCGATCTCAGTTCACTGCAACATCCGCCTCCCAGGTTCAAGTGATTCTCTTGCCTCAGCCTTCCGAGTAGCTGGGATTACAGGCACACATCACCACGCCCAGCTAATTTTTGTATTTTTAGTAGAGATGGGGTTTCACCATGTTGGCCAGGCTGGTTTCAAACTCCCAACCTCAGGTGATCTGCCCACCTTGGTCTCCCTAAGTGCTGGGATTACAGGGGTGCCACTGTGCTCAGCCTTCTGACAATTTATTCTTTCTAAACAGTGCAAACACTGCTCTTTCTTGAGTTTGTATAATTTTAGATGTAATTTTGCTCTCTTATCCCCAACTCACAGGCATATACTTTGTTTTTTGCTTTTGTTTTTTTGAGATGGAGTTTCGCTCTTGTTGCCCAGCCTGGAGTGCAATAGCACCATCTTGGCTCACAGCAACCCCCGCCTCTCTAGTTGAAGGGATTCTCCTGCCTCTACCTCCCAAGTAGCTGGGATTACAGGCACGTGCCACCATGCCCGGCTAATTTTGTATTTTTAGTAGAGACGAGATTTGTCCATGTTGGTCAG